TAAATATTGTGTTTTATAACTGACATGTACTTGATTGAAAACAAAACGAAGTAGATTTTGTTTTCAAAGGTTCTTACCAAAACTGGTTTAGTATGTGCTGAGTGTTTAGAGGAGACTGGACTTATCGGCCATAGAGATACACAACTAACATGTTTGACAGCAATATTGTGTTAACTACTCTGATCTTAATCTTGATAACGCTCGTTAGCGATGGGCAAAGATGCACATTCGGCAACGACCCGTTGGTAACCTTCCTTGCGCTTAACCCAGAATGGGAAAATTCAACTACACCGTTTGTGGATGGAAAAATTAGACGATATGTAGCCTGCAAAAGCGGACTAACACCTTTGTTCGATGGAAGCATTACGCCCTGGTCATATGAATGTCCTCATACCTTCGATAGGAGCAGTCGCGGAGTTCGCTTTTATCCCAGGTCAGTCTAAAAATAATTTAAATCACGTTAAAATAATAAAATTTAGATTTTATGTCGATTAGAAATGAACAGCTTTGATAGATTTTTAAAAAAAATTTATGTAGCGTTTATAATTTAATATAGGTGGAAGGTTGAAGCGAAGTGTATGTGCAAGGAATGTATCAGAAAATCGAATTCCCTTTGTCAGAAAGTCTCTAAACGGATGGTTTTGCTCTACATTGAACATTGCTCCTATGACAACGTCACTTTCGTAGGCAAACGCATTGAAGAAATCGCAACAGGTTGCCAGTGTGTTGAACAACCTAAAGTTGATGCTTCAGCTTCTTCTACTGTTCCTCCAGTGTAAGACGTCAAATAGAAAATACACCCAATCGATGTTCTTTGCCTGTATGTTCTTATTAAAGGCGATAAGCTTAACATTGTTGTCGTTTGTCTAGGCGATGAGTTAAAATCTGCTGCCATTTGTCTAAACAGCTATGGGGTTAAAATTTAAACATTTAGTGTTGTCGGAAAACATTTAATTATCTTGCAAGACTGCTACGCTTTACTGTTATAACCCATTACAGAAAGGTGTCAATATTATGTACTGGTTTCTAGTAGACAAACATTTAAGACAGTGTCCTGCTTCATTTCAAATTAAAGAATTGTTTTTCTCAATGAATATACTGTGCATGTTAATTTAATTCTATTTTGTTTCACTTGTTGAATTGTGTGTCATATATAAACACCTACACACACTCAGATACGCCCACACACCTACCGACAAATACACACACACATGAATACACACACGCAAACCAATATACACGTACGAAAACCGACCCACGAAATAACCAACTCAGAAACACACACACTGATATATAAACCTACAAACACACATACACACCAACCCACAAACTCTCACACACACACCATTGCACACGTGAACACACCAACCTACAAACATACACATTCTAAATTAATTTCCTTTTATTCGGTATCAGGGTCTCTTTTTTTTAATTTTAATCGAATCTATCGATTGTTGGTTATAAATTTCAACTTATTTATGTGGCAAGAAGTTATTCATTATTTAACCAGCTGCTGTTGCAATCATACAAAACTATAACATGTCTTTTCATACTTCACCAATATTTTTTTTTGTGTGGTAATTACGAGTTTTATGGAATAAAGGTTGTTTTTCATCGGAGTGAAATAAACTTTATAAAAGAAAAATTCGAATTTGTTTTCTTTTGTGCTAAGTTTTTTATTGTGTCTAATGTTGTCACCCGGTGCGGCACTTAATGGTGTCACCCCCCCCCCCCTAGAGGCGTAGCGACCCTTCCCGGGGACACACTTTTAAATTTTCTATTTGCACCCCCCCCCCATTCTTCAAACTTTCTATTTGCACCCCCACCCCTCAAATATTTCTCTATATATTTTGCTATTTTTTGCCTTGGTGTCACCCCCCTAAATAATGTCACCCGGTGCGATCCGCACCCCCGCCCCCCCCCCCCTCGCTACGCCTCTGATCCTTTCATATGCCGAGGTATGTGAAAAACTTTACTGTAAGTGCTCTGTAACAGATAAACTCTACTTCAACTGCCTCAGGTGTTCTGGGCACGAAGGGGAAAAAATGATCATAATTACATGCAACATGATTAAATGAGGATAGGATGTATTTTGAAAATATCTGAGAATATCTTAAACGTGTTACTTTTCAGGATGGCATAAATATATGACCTCATCTATTATGTCTAGTGACACCAAGCATGCAAACATTATTAATTCCAGGTGTCGGCGTGGTCGAGTCGGTAAAGCTCATGGTTGCTATACCGAAAAGTCTCGAGTTCGAACCCTTGGGCAGATGAGGCTCGTTAGCTGGGGACAGCCACTCTTCTAGGAGAGACAACTCCAAAATTAAAACAACTGCTGCCTTGTAGTTTGTTCTTGGTTGGACAAAGGCTATGGAAGCAAATCCAAAAAGAAAAGCAGGCTGAAATCGGAGTCAATGGCCTCAATGGCGCATAACTAGTTGACACGTAACGCTTAATTGTGTTGGAGGCGTGGTCGAGTCGGCAAAAAGCTCATGGTTGAAAAAATTCGAAAAAGTCTCGAGTTAAAACCCACTGGCAGATAAATTACGATCCGCCTCAACACTAATAATTAAGCACGAAGAAGAAGAAAATTCCAGGTGTCAGGAGTATTTTTCAGTAACAATAATTATAAATTAAGGCGCGAAAAATAACAATGTTTTAAATGTAACTCTTAAATGTGGTTGGTGTCACCCCCTTCCTCCTTATCTCCCGTCCCTAACAAAGCGTGTTTTCGTCAGTAAGAAGCATTTAACCCTATTAACACAAGTGGAGAAAGCATTGTTTTCATAGTACCTGCTAAATGTGGTGGGTGTCACCCCCTTCCTCCTTATTTCCCGTCCCTAACAAAGCGTGTTTTTGTCAGTAAGAAGCATTTAACCCTATTAACGCAAGTGGAGAAAGCATTGTTTTCATAGTAACTGCTAAATGTGGTTGGTGTCAACACCCCCTCCCCATCACCATCCCTCCACCCTTACCAACAATATTCAACAAAAGCTTCTTTTTTTCCCTCTATAAATTGTGAAAAAGTTTTCAGTTGGTATCACCCCCCCCCTCTCCCTCATCCCCTGCGTGACACATTCAACCTAAGCCCAGTTAGTTGTAGTAGTGCTGAGTCTCTCCACTATAGTCATTTATTAACTGAGCTAGATGTAACATTGTTTTCTCAATGACAAGCAAGTTTACCTCAAGTTGCCCCCCCCCCACCCCGTCGTCGGGTTTTATGTCAGTTTGGTATTAAAACAAAAAATTAACTCTAATATATCATTAACTGAAATACCGAATAAAACATTTTTGTTCTATAATTTTTTTTTCAATTTTTGCTTAGGTGTCACCCCCTACAATGTTTCTCTGGCGCGATACGCACCCCGCAACCCCTAGTGACAGCTCTTAATTTATATTCAATATTTTAATCAAAATGACAAAATGGTACCATCAATTTATCTTTAATTTTGGGAAATGTTTTAGCATAAAGTAAATACATTCAAAGCTCAAAGCTAGCTAAAGCTGAGGTTAAAGTCGAAGCTAAAGCTAAAGCTGAAGCTGAAGCTGAAGCTGAAGCTGAAGCTGAAGCTGAAGCTGAAGCTAAAGCTAAAGCTGAAGCTGAAGCTGAAGCTGAAGCTGAAGCTGAAGCCGAAGCTAAAGCCGAAGCTAAAGCCGAAGCTAAAGCTAAAGCTAAAGCTAAAGCTGAAGCTAAAGCTGAAGCTAAAGCTGAAGCTAAAGCTGAAGCTAAAGCTAAAGCTAAAGCTAAAGCTAAAGCTAAAGCTAAAGCTAAAGCTAAAGCTAAAAGCTAAAGCTAAAAGCTAAAGCTAAAAGCTAAAGTTATAGATAAAGCTGTTTCGAAAGCGAACGAAAAATACACCAGAATTAGATCTCAAAATGTTCAGATAAACCTTTAAAAGACATAGTTCAGTCATACCTAGATTGAATAATATTTTTAGTATGAGCTTTCCTAGTATTGATTATTTATTCAAAATTAAAAAAAAATGGTTGCATTATTTTTACGGATTGTTTATTTAAAATCCAAAATATCTGTTGCATTAGTTTTGGGGTGCGAATGATCTTTGTACATGTTTATAGTTTATTTAAAACTCAAAATTACAATTGCGTCAATTATGGGATTCTAATGATCTTTTAGACGTGTTGATTCTTTAATACCTAAACCAGCCATTAACTTAGTTTACGTCACTGGACAAGGGACACGACTCTCAATGACAATACTTTCAACCGAGTTCGTCAAAAAGTTTATTGTTTGCATTTTATTCTACCATGTATTGACAGACAGAAACTGTTGTAATATGTGAAATAGGCAAAATTTGTATTCTTTATTTATATATTAATTTCCCTGAGGTTTAGGGGACGGAGTGGTAGAGAGCTGGAGAGAGCTGGACTTCTAACATATATTTCGACTTCTAACATATATTTCTCGAGTTCGTATTCGGGTTCGAGTCAGTAGAACATCCCTGAGTCCACCAAACACTGATGGGTACCTACCTCAAGTTAGGTGCTAACCGTACTCTCTCTTCATATTCCGAGATCTCAGAAACAGATGAACTCTACACCGTTAGGTTCGAAAGGGAACTTTATTTTTTTACCCTGAAATCTATAAATGCTTATTTTACTCGTAACTAACTTTCGTCATAGATTTTATTTAAGACCTAAGATAGATTTTTAAAAAATAATTTTTAATATGCATTTTATTTTTTACTTTTGTTTATTTCCAATGCGTATCAATGTTCGTAGAACTTGATGACGTGTAGAGAGAACATCAGAGCTATTTGACGAATACATCTGTCTAAACCTATGCTGTAATCTAATTGAAATTTCTAATTTTCCTAAAATCTTAACTTAACACACACATGACGTAGAAAAACCATTTATTTTTATTGACGTTAAGCTAATTAGATAAGCCTTCGATCAAGATTTAGCAATAGACCCGAAATTAATTTTTTTTAAATAGAGTACACGTACATAATGGAAAATATATAATTATACTTTTTTCAAATATATATTTGAAAAGCTGCTTTCGTATTTGCTTTGCTTTAAAAAGTCGCCCAGTAGTATTAGCAAGAGACTAAATACAACAAATGTTGGACGCCAAAGCTGTTGTAATTATTCTGGTGCTTACGTTGTCTTTGATTGACAAAGAAACAGGGCAGAGATGCAAATTTGGGAAAGAAGCATTAGATACTCTCCTCGCCTTAAACCCGGAATGGGAAGAATCGACGACCCCTTTCATCGATGGCGTCGTTGGGAATAACTCGCACACAGTATGTCAAAGCGGCTTGGAACCATTTTCTCAACCAAAAATACAACCCTGGTCATACGAATGCCCTCACAGATACACGAAAAATGACACAGGTTTTCGGTACTTTCCAAGGTGAGTGAAATACGTAATTTAATTATAAATAATAATAGTTTTAATTCAGAGTTTAATGCCAATGAAAAAAAAATGAATGGTTAACTGACAATTAAATAAGTAATTTAATTTGTTTTTTTTTTTACTGTCGCATTTTTTTAGGTATAAAATTGATGCAGAATGTCTGTGCACATTGTGCATCAGGAAAAATGCCAGGTCTTGTAAAAAAATAAGGGCCGATATGAAAGTTCTGTACATTGAAAGTTGTTCCGATGATGGCGTGGCTGCGTACAAGTTAGTAACTAGGCGTTTGACTACGGGATGCCAGTGTGAAGATTCCATTCCTCCAGCTCCCTCTGGCGGCGGCCCTCCAGTGACGGAATAAATCACCACAGCCAGCTCTGAATCTTTGCCGCCTGTCTAGAGCTACATTCTTTGCCGTTTATATTGACAAAAATTTAAGTTATTTGCCGTTCTTTGTTACGGCAATTTTAATATTATTTGTCGTTTTTTTATAGACGGCAAAGAATAGAGAATCTTTGATATTTTGTCTTGACGGAAGTTTATCATTTGTAGATTTTTAAATGGCAAAGATTTAAGGCTTTCACGCGTAGTTTCTTGGTAAATCTTTTAACATGAATAAAAAAAAATTATTCAATGGATTTATGGTTTATATTAATTTAATTCACGTTTTTTTCAATTCATGTCTGATTTGTGATATCGCACTCCAAAAAACTTCCACACACTTTCACACACGTCAACACACTTCTACTGAGTTCCACGCACTTCCTCACACTTTCATACACTTTCACACAACTTCCACACACTACTACACACTTCCACATACTTCCACACACTTCCACACACTTCCACACTCTTCCATACACTTCCATACACTTTCATACACTTTCACACACTTCCACACACTTCCACACACTTCCACACACTTCCACACACTACCCCACACTTCCATACACTTCTACACACTTCCACACTCTTCCATACACTTCCATAGACTTTCATACACTTTCACACACTTCCACACACTTCCATACACTTTCACACACTTCCACACACTACCCCACACTTCCATACACTTCCACACACTTCCACACTCTTCCATACACTTCTACACACTTTCATACACTTTCACACACTTCCACACTCTTCCATACACTTCCATACACTTTCATACACTTTCACACACTTCCACACACTTCCACACACTTCCATACACTTTCATACACTTTCACACACTTCCACACACTTCCACACACTTACACACACTTACACACACTACCCCACACTTCCATACACTTCCACACACTTCCACACTCTTCCATACACTTCCATACACTTTCATACACTTCCACACACTTCCACACTCTTCCATACACTTCCACACACTTTCATACACTTTCAGACACTTCCACACACTTCCACACACTTCCACACACTACCCCACACTTCCATACACTTCCACACACTTCCACACTCTTCCATACACTTCCATACACTATCATACACTTTCACACACTTCCACACACTTCCACACACTTTCATACACTTTCACACACGTCCACACACATCCACTGAGTTCCACACACTTCCTCACACTTTCATACACTTTCACACACTTCCACACAATACCACACACTTCCACACACTTCCACACACTTCCATATACTTCCACGCACTTCCATACACTTTCACACACTTCCACACACTTTCATACACTTTCACTCACTTCCACTCACTCCCAAACACTTCCACACACTTCCACTGAGTTCCACACACTTCCACACTCTTTCATACACTTTCACACTTCCACACACTTTCATACACTTTTAAACACTTCCACACACTTCAACACACTCCCAAACACTTCTACACACTTTCATACACTTTCAAACACTTCCACATACTTCAACACACACCCATACACTTCTACACACTTTCACACACGTCCACACACTTCCACTGAGTTCCACATACTTCCTCACACTTTCGTACACTTCCACACATTACCTAACAGTTCCATACACTTCCACACACTACCCCACACTTCCATACACTTCCACACTCTTCCACAAACTTCCATACACTTCCATACACTTTCACACACTTCCACACACTTTCATACATTTTCACACAGTTCCACACACTTCCATACACTTTCACACACTTTCACACACTTCCACACACTTTCATACACTTTCACACAGTTCCACACACTTTCACACACTTTCACACACTTCCACACACTCCCAAACACTTTCACACTTCCACACACGTACACACACTTCCACTGAGTTCCACACACTTCCTTACACTTTCATACACTTCACACACTTCTACACACTTATAAACACTTTCATACACTACCACACACTTCCATACACTTCACACACTTTACACAATTCACACTCTACCACACACTTACACACACTTACACACATTTCCACACACATTCACACACCAATACACAAACAAAGACGTAAATGCACAGAAAACACGTTCTCTCCAACTCATAAACGTACAGGCACACACGAAACCAATATTACACACAAACCAAACCACTAACACGCACATAAAACAACAATTACATACACAAACAAAATGTTATTTCAATTAGTCTTAAGGGTAAATTTTGATAACTGAATTTTAAACCTGTATATCGTTTGCCATTGGTTTTATTATAAAATGTTAGTATGAACGTGTAGCTTTATTTAAATACTATACACATCACTGGAAGACATGAAATTTCTTATGTTTTATCTATTTTTGGGAAACAGGTGTTATATCATACAGTTTGCTTTTTAAATGTAATAAAGGGGATTATCGAATAAAACTTGTTTTGTGTAAAAATATGTTTTTTTTTCATTGACAACATGACCATGTAGAAAATTTTGTCATAAGAAATAATGGAATTATAACAAAAAGGGCCATTGTGTTTACTTTAGTTTATCGATCGTTATATGGTATACATTTAATAATAACACCATTGTTTTTCTTACCAGCTAAGTACTTCGCAATCGTATATTATTCAATTGTTTTCACCGATAGATAATGTGTAACAAAAACCAAGACTGATACTTAACCAATTCATTTCATATTGTATAAATTTTACTACAAAGTTAAATAACCCTCAAAGAACAGCAAACTCTAAACCGAAAACAGCGTTTCTTGCAAAATTGTATACTTTAATTTTTTTTTTTAAAGTCTAAAACCTCTGCGCTAATCAGAAGTGCCAAGTGTTGTTTTTTATTTTAACTTTATTTCCTCCAATGACTTTATTTTATCATGAGTTGGACATGGCTGGAAGCCAGTTAACACATTTTCAACAATTTGTACCGAACGCATTTTTTTTTTCAAAACTTCGGTTAAGAAATGATAATAGGTTTTCCGATAATTAGAAGTTTGATTTTCTTTAGTAAGGGCCACCGCATGTAAAAAGTACCTATTATGGTATAATGAAATAATTGCATGGTAAACACCACAACTCACAAATAATCACACGTGTGCTTGTACTAAACAAACCCCCCCCCCCACTTCACACATTAAAGCCAACTGAAAGATTATTTGATCCAACGCCAACTACAAACAAAACCTATTACATCAACAGTAATTACATTCGATTAAATTGTCAAAAAAGCGTGCTGACACTCAATTTAAAGAAACCTCAGTAAAATACAGGTTTTCTCAATCAATGAGTACATCTTTTTAAACAACCTATGTTCTACTCTTTCACCTAGTCTCTGTTACTTCTTATTCTGCTCCATGTACATGTTATTTTCCTAGCTCTTTGTAAATAACAATATTACACTTATCATAATACGAGCCGACCCGTGGCGTATCATACGGCGCTATTTAGATGTTTTATTTTCTACTTTTCAGTTATTTATAATTTGTGAATTCGACAGTACAAATGCTGTCACTGAAAATATTTGCTGTAAAACACTAAAACCTTCCTTTCCCCACCCCCCCCCCCCCCCTCCCACGTTAAAGCAGCCTCCTCTTATGTACCTCCCCTAAGTTGAAAATAGTTTCAAACTAAATTATCTGCCCCTAATAGCCGTAACTAAACCCGGCTCTACGATTGTAAACATTTAGCGTGACCCACAGCTCACCAGACCATGTAGGGGTGGGTGTGGTTGCGATATACCTAGAGAGGGGACTGCTAGGCGCGCTTACAGCTTGGTGTTTTCTAACGTCTCCGAGAAGAGAATTACATGTATAGATTTTTTCCGCTCTCTCTAAAAACATTAACATTTTCTATGGTATCACTCGCACACGACACGAACATCACAACTCTACGTACTCCCTACTGTACTATAGTAATATCCTGTGTATGTATTCTCTAAGTTTTCTATCATTAAATATTCTCTAGTGTATAATTCCCACTACATAGTTCCTTCCACGTATTTCCTACTGTATAATGCACTATATAGGCTATTACTCCTGTATAAATCCCTTTATAAATTCTAAACTGCATAATTGTATTTGATATATTCCATATCGTATTTTACACAAAATTTATTCCCCATTGTATCATTCCCTCGTTTGTTTCATCCCTTATATATATTCCCTATGCCATAATTCCTTCTTCCTTCTGCATTTTCCGTCCTCAATAAGCATAAATAACTTGATTAGTATGTCTTCTCTCTGCATACTCCATTACCTTAATATCGATCTTCGTATCTTATCCTCAAGTTCTATTTAACACGAATCCAGAGGTTGTGTAAGTAGAGAGCCCCTGAGTTCACCCAGCTTTAATGGGTACCTGACTTACGTTTGGGACAGTTAAGACAGCTGTGTGTCGAGCTGACAACACTAGAACTTAATATGTGGAAGTTAAGGTGAACTCTACTGCACTAACTTCAAGTATCGTCATTTTAGTTGGATACTTTATTTTTATTTTACTACCAACTATCGTTTTGACTAGTATCTGTACCGAAGAATAAACGATTTCCCCACTAGAGAAAATGTAACTCACAGATATACAGTATTGTTACTTTGTACTCTAAGAAGCATATTTATCCATAATAGCCTTTCTACTATCTGAGTTTTCTTGTATCGTTCTCTTGCTTTCAGTTCTTTATCTCTGTTTTACGTTTCTCTGCTCTCTGTATAAACCAGTGGTTCATAAACATGTGTTAGGTGGGTCAGTTTTAGGTGTTCGGTAGAGGTCAAGACAAATTAGGTGTTTGGTAGAGGTCAGGACAAATTAGATGCTCTGTAGAGGTCAAGACAAATAAGTTGTTCGGTAGAGGTTAAAACACAATTAGGTGTTCGGTAGAGGTCGAAACATTAGGTGTTTGGTAGAGGTCAAGACACATTAGGTGTTCGGTAGAGGTCAAGACAAATAAGTTGTCGGTAGAGGTAAAAAAAATAGCTCTTTGGTAGAAGGCAAAACACATTTAGGTGTTCGGTAGAGGTCGACACATTAGGTGTTCGGTAGAGGTCAAGACACATTAGGTGTTCGGTAGAGGTCAAGACAAATTAGGTGGTCGGTAGAGGTAAAAAAAATTAGCTCTTCGGTAGAGATCAAAACACAATAAGCATTCGGTAGAGGTCGACACATTAGGTATTCGGTAGAGGTCAAGACACATTAGGTGTTCGGTAGAGGTCAAGACAAATTAGGTGGTAGGTAGAGGTAAAAAAAATTAGCTCTTCGGTAGAGGTCAAAACACAATTAGGTGTTCGGTAGAGGTCGACACATTAGGTGTTCGGTAGAGGTCAAGACACATTAGGTGTTCGGTAGAGGTCAAGACAAATTAGGTGGTAGGTAGAGGTAAAAAAAATTAGCTCTTCGGTAGAGGTCAAAACACAATTAGGTGTTCGGTAGAGGTCGACACATTAGGTGTTCGGTAGAGGTCAAGACACATTAGGTGTTCGGTAGAGGTCAAGACAAATTAGGTGGTCGGTAGAGGTAAAAAAAATTAGCTCTTCGGTAGAGGTCAAAACACAATTAGGTGTTCGGTAGAGGTCGACACATTAGGTGTTCGGTAGAGGTCAAGACACATTAGGTGTTCGGTAGAGGTCAAGACAAATTAGGTGGTAGGTAGAGGTAAAAAAAATTAGCTCTTCGGTAGAGGTCAAAACACAATTAGGTGTTCGGTAGAGGTCGACACATTAGGTGTTCGGTAGCGGTAAAGACACGTTAGGTGTTCGGTAGAGGTCAAAACACAAACCCAACTCACACGATTTACGATCGGGTTTTGTTATTTTGGACGATACAACTATTAAAAAGGGTTCGGTAATGGTGCTTGGGTTCATTACCTTTTAAAAGGTTCAGAACCACTTTTATAACAGATACCGCTCAAAACACAATACGAAAACTCATTTTACATGAGATTAGCTTGCTGTACTTCATGACCTGACCCATTTTGTACCAGGTCAAAGGTCAACCAGCTTGTCCAGAAAAACAAACCTGGAAAAAACAGGAACCTAGATCTAGAAAAGCAGGGCAGAATCTGCTTTGTAACCACGACTGCAGGTATCTAGGCAAGGGACTGCACCGTGTAAACATATTTCATCATCAGCTGGCAAAAACAAGACAAGGGGAGATAACACGTACATCTTTAGACAGGGAGATAACAAACGAAAGTTAGTGCACTCATGGAATTCAGGAAGTTTTGTATGTGAGCAAAACAGTGATATTACTTAATTAGCATACCTATCCAAGCTAGTAAATACTTTTAGACGAAACAGTTTATATTACGAAATTAAGGATTGACCTATACATTTTTTATTAGAGAAAAGGAATGATAAAAAGAAAATTTATTATTATTAAGTCATCAGTATGGTTGGTACAAGATTCGATATCGTTGATGACTGCAGTGGTTTGAAGTATTTAGGTAACAGTTTAAGCCTTGATTGAATAACATCAAAACACGAACAATTTTAAGACTTTAATAAACTGGAGTATTGAAAAAAAAAAAAACACAAAGTTCTGCCACGGAGCACAAGACACACACTTCCACACGATAACAAGTCTAGCATTCAACTAACTTAATTGATTCCTATTTCAGCTATCTAATCCAGATTTAAACAATATAATAATGTGGACATTAATACAATTAAGAATTAAACGATACGAGCCGACCCGCGGCATATCTTACGCCGCTATTTAGTTATTGTTTTTTCTACTTTTCAGAAATTCATAATTTGTGAATTCGACAGTACCAATGCTGCCACTGAAAATATTTGCTTTAAAACACTAACATCACCCCCTTCCCCCCCCCCCGCCCACGTGAAAGCAGCCTCCTCTTCGTTACCTCCTCTAAGTTTAAAATCGTTTCAAACTAAATTATCTGCCCCTAATAGCCGTCACCAAACCCGGCTCTATGATTGTATTATGTAAACATTTAGCGTGAACCACAGCTCACCAGACCATGTGAGGGGGAGGGGGGGTTGGGGGTGGTAAAGATAGAGAGGAAGAGAGGGGACTGTAAGACGCGCTTGCAGCTTGTTTTCTAACGTCTCCCAGAAGAGAATTATATATATAGATTTTATCCCAGTTCTCTATCCTATGCTAATCCCAGTTATAACACGTTTGTAAGCAATAAGTCTGCAACAGCATTTAAGTTTGCAACAAACAGTGAAGCTACATGCAGTTCCACAATTTTTAAGGATCCAGTGTAAAAATAACAGTGTAAAGAGAATGTGTATAAAAGTTAAAGAAAATAAATAATATTAACACTCAAACGAGTAAGTATATAAAATATACCATTATAGTTTAACATTTACAAAGTAATGTGCAGTCTTAAAATATACAGTTAAATATAGCGATAAAGTTTAGTATTTACAGTGTAACGAGGTCAAGTTCCTTCTCCCACCTCCTCCACCCAACACCTACACTATC